GTGTGTGTGTGTGTGTGTGTGTGTGTGTGTGTGTGTGTGTGTGTGTGTGTGTGTTCACTCAATGCCAAGGAGGAAAACTGTTGCTGCCCTTCAATCTGAGAAGGGTTATTTCCGAACAACCTGTACTCTACCATTCCACAGTGAAAAACAAAAAATCACAAGTGGGGAAACATTTAACAAAACTGCCCATTTTCCAAGAAGTTGACGTCCCAACAAATTCAGCCCATGGTCAGGCTGTACAGTTCTCAGAGCCCTTTCTTAGTCTCTACAGGCAGTACAGTTAGAAAAAGACTGAAAAAACATGGCTGGTTTGAAAGCAGAACATGGCACCACTGCAGAACTTTTGGAGCCGAGACTTTTGAGTAGATGAGACCAAAGTAGAGATGCTTTGATCACAGCACATCAGCAGAACTCCTTATACCAACTGTTCAACCAACATGGTGGTCGACGGGTGAAGATTTAGGCTCCACAGGACCTGGGCACCTTACAGTCATTGAGTCGACCATTAGCTCCCCTGCAAACCAAAGTTTACAAGAGTCAAATGTGAGGCCATCCATCCGACAGACGAAGCTTGGCCCAAACTGGGTCTACAAATCTACAACAGTTTCGCTATCAAGCAGGTGCAACAGTCCAGGCAAAGTCTAAACTAGAGGGTGACGGTTTTCACTCCTGTCCCATCCCAATCCAGAGTAAAAGACAATTCCTGTCCCATCCTGCTCCTGGTAAAATGACTCCTGCTCCCATTCAGCATGGCTCCAGCTCCTGTACCACTCCCATTTGTTTCTTTATTTAGTCTTTAGGCAATATGAWGAATTGGATTTGAGCTTCTCCCTATTTCTTTCCTGCCAGTTCTGTGAGCTTCAGGGCTTTACTTCAGACTTTACGTTGCAAATCAATTTTTACCACATTGGTTTCTCTGCTGGTGTTTGCTCCCTCCATTGCTGCTGTTCTTTGAATTCCAGTGGAAAGCAGCAACCGTAAGCCCGGTCGGCTTCTGGGTCATGTAGTTCATTAACTTGCGTTACAGGTTAGACTTATTGAAAGAAAACTACAACATGGCAGACCTGTCCTATGTTGTTTCTGTTTTGGCTTGTCCTATTAGATGGTCCTTTATTTTTTTTATCATGTACCATTCCAATCACGTGGTCAATAGTTAAGGAAAGAATCCCGGGGGAATCACATGATCCATGGGATTCCTGAAGAAAATGTCAGCCTCTAGTCCAAATCTAATTGAAACGCTGTGGTGGCATATTAAGAGAGCTGTCCAGAAACACATGTTTGCAAGCTTTAATGAACTGAAGCAATGGTGTAAAGAAGAATGGGCCAAGATTCCTACACAACCATCTGTGAGACAAAATACAAAAAACATCTACCTCAAGTTATTGCAGCTTAAGGTGACTCCACAAGCTGCTGAATCATGCTCTTCACGCAGAATATTTCTATTTCGGTTGTATTCTTTGTTTAATAAATAATGACATATATGCTGAGTGTTTTTGCATACCTCAGGTTAGATTTTAAATATGTTTAGAATTTAGTAAAGATCAGATCATTATGTCCTGATGAGTCAAACCCTAGAATCGAGAGTCGTTTCCTCATGACTGCATGCTAAAGTGCAACGTTTTGTTGGCTTTATTTTTTCAAAGGGTTCAGTGTGTGCCCAGCCCTGCCCTCTGGGTAAATACGGCATCAACTGCAGCAAAGACTGTTCGTGTCGTAACGGCGGCGTGTGCGACCACGTCACGGGGAAGTGCCACTGCGCAGCTGGCTTCAGCGGACGCAGGTACGACACATCCGACAGACAGATGATTAAATTATCATGCACAAAAGCCTTCTGCGATGTACTTAGTGCAAACTTTTACACTCTGACTTTGAAAATAGGTCAGACAATAGCATGGTTTATTGATATTTGTATTTAATTCAAAAAGGATGCTTTTATGCAGATACATTTAACAGTCACTCACTGACCTATTCTCTTTGTGGATTACTAAATGAGTCAAAAAACCTGACTTTTATGTTTTTTTAAAGATAAAGGCTATGCTATAAAAAATCTCACACTCAAGAGAAATGAGCATTTATTAACACCCATTACTTCATCTGAAGGTGGAGTGGAAGCTTTTAATGGTGGTGTTTATGCCTAATTAATCTCGTACTACACGCTGCCCAGAAAGGTTTCACGTCTTGAGCCTCCATCCACATCCTCTCTCAGCCTGTCCATTGATCTCACCAAAGGCTATATGCTGTTTGGGTTCTGCTCATTAATTATAAGTAATGGGCTTATATTAAGGTCTTGTCGAAATACGCAGATCTTTTTAGCTTCCCGTGCCTCCTGGAACAGCCCAGAGCAGCCTGCATTTATTAGTTCAACTAAAGCAATTGTCTCTTTGATGGAAACACTTCCCTTTACAAGACCTTTTCTTTACTTTATTATTTTACAAAATTGCTCTCATTCATTTTGTCAGCGGCAGGTGAATTAACCTGCCAGGAGTAATCTGAGACTGTGTTAACCCCCAGCTTCTCCTGTCTGGTATAATAATACAGTTCCTCCCACCCCCACCTGATAAAACTAACACTAGGGTAATTTAAACATCATCCATAACTTGAACATTTAATAGCTTTGTTAAACTTCTGAGACTGGGATCCCCTCTAATACTGTAAAGTGATTTAATTTTTTTATTATTAAAAAGACAAAAAAAAAAAACATTTAACAAACCTAAATTCA